TTTTGCTTTTTGTACACAGATCTGTTCTGATGCCGCATGGCATGGTGAGATTTTCGGCCGTCAGAGCTTGAACTGACCACTGAAATACCCGTGACTACTGGGGCCACAAGAACCGGGTGTAGTTATCTTTTCAATCTATAGATTGCCAAAACAAAACTAGGCGTTGTCGAAACCGAAGTACGGATTAGCAAGATCAAAGTGCTCATAACTGAGACCAAGGGCTTCAATCTTCCTCAATTCCCGTCTCTAAAGTACTCTACCATAGACTAAATGTGATGCAACTTTGATGCGCTCCATAGATGTATGACCTTTCCCGAAAAGGCATGTTCAATTGGAATCTGTGTTGGGAATAGGCAGTTTACAGTTGCTGATATGTAGTTTGGGTTTTGCTGTGACCTATTACATTTTTTGACTCAACTCGTTGATAAGGTATTTTGGGAAGATATTCTATACGGATGCACTACGGTTTCTCCATCCATCCAGTACATCAGTGATCCTTCATGATTTCTTACGGCCAATCTAGCACGAGCACACTATGTTCAGCATCTGTACTAGCAAAAANGTAATTTCTAAACTCACCTATTTATCGTACACCCGCGGACCAGCTCGCATCTGTTCCGTGGATGTTACAAGCTTATGTCACAAGACTATCCGAAGCTTATATTCAACGCGTAGTGAGTGGACGTGTGTTTCCAGAGCAACTTGTCCAATAATTCAGATAGTATCCATCTATCAAAAGAGAGAAAGAGAGGACAAAATGTTAGGAAGTCTACGTTTCAGCATTGTAGCTTGTCCTTGAAATATATCTACTGGAGTGCGGTTTGTGTTCAAATTTGATACAAGCGAATAAGTGACTGCTCATTTTTCTTCTGTTAGGAACAATTTTCTTTTCATCCGAAATGTCGGATGTTTAGTTATTAAAATATGATGATGTGGTTCTACATCTATCCTCAACACACTTTCAGATACTTTAGTTTCCAATTTGCACAACCATTAACCATACACTTTCGTGCTTAAGTTTTCGTTGCTGACTTTCGGCTGCCCATTTGGATGAACAGTAAGAGAAAGACAGGAAAGTTGAGAGTAGAATCCAATTGAAAATGGAGAAGTTCAGTGGACTCAGGGTCAAAGAGATTTAGAGGAAGCACGATCGCCCCTATTTACGACACAGCCATATCACTCGTTTTTCCTAACCATCGGTTACGAACATCCCGAGGTCCCCAACCAGGGAGCCTAACGGGACCTGTGTGACCCAGTTCTCTGGTTAAGGTTTTCATACCCCCGTGCTAGGTCTTATTTTGACTACCCTTGGCTTTTTCCACCCATGACCTGCCTCGGCAAACATTGCTCGCCGTGACAGCCTATTGGGTGAAATGCGTAACATGCCTCGCCCAACGTGATCTATCGGATGACGAAGTCAGTAGAGAATTGTAGCGGAATGTTCATCATCCTGTTGACTGAGAATAGGTGTTTATTGACTAATCGAAAATAAACTTAAATGATTACAAGGACAAGTATAGCTTTCATTCTGTTATTTTCGTTCAAAAACCCTCGTCTTCCTTGTGTTCCGGTTTGCACGTCGTTTTACTCGTATCGTGCATATTTTTCACCGGATTCTGTCCCACATTCGCCTTGTTTTCACTGACACACGTGCAGTTTCCGATATTTTCAAAACACTTGTCCACGTGAAGTATATCTCGGTTTGTCCCAATCTGGTTCTGCAGGCTTGTACATATTTCACCTCGTTCACTTGCCCGTTACGCTTGGTCTTTCATGCACTGGACACGGGAGCGGNTTCAAGGCAAGTGTGTCAGGCTCTTTCATTTGTCGACGTTCTGTCGCACAGTTTGTTTGATTTTCCAATCGAAAATAAACTGATTATTGCACCAACTGTATTCCGTTGCAATACATGCTTATTTACCCGTAAATACATGTCCGTTTTCACGATATACGTAACTCTCAAGATAAATGTCATTGAGCCCCATTAGATTGATCGAAACAAGTGGTTATACCAAACAGGTGCGCGTTTCCATTAGTTTCAGATACCGAGGTATTATGGTGCTCGTGTATGTGGTGAGAGAGCCTCGCACCTCCTGAATTCATTTATTTTCCGCAGGACCGATACATCACAAAGAGCACTAGACGGCTGTTTCGCCTTTTGTCGAGCTCATTATCAATGTTTACCGCATGTGTCCTTGCCGTTACTGAAACCG